ATTGCTTAACCATCCCTTACAGATACATTCGTTATACCGGCCATGTCAAATACCCGGCTTTAGTCGCCATTCCTATCTACCTGCTTGGTACAGCTCTGATCATCTACTTTAGAGTGCCCGGCGCTCAGGTAGGCTATCTTGCCATGTGTCAGGTACTCGTTGGCTTTGGTGTGGGGATGATTGGGCAGATGGCAGAGCTCATTACCATGGCGTCTGTGAGGCACCAAGACGTTGCTGTTGCCCTTGCTATTTACGGTCTGTTCGGCTCGGTCGGCTCATCTGTCGGCTACGCCGTTGCAGGTGGCATTTGGACGAACATTCTGCCCGAAAAGCTATACGAATTCCTTCCCGAGGACAGCAAGAACATGACGGCTGCGATTTACGGAGACATCAACAAGCAAATGGCTGAGCCTATCGGTACACCGATCCGGGACGCCGTTATCAGGGCATATGGCGACGTCATGAGAAAGATGGTCATCGTTGGCTCAGCACTAATTCCTCTAACGATCCTTTGCGTCATTATTTGGAGAAACATCAATGTCAAGAAGCTCGAAGGGGTTGAAAAGCGAGCCAGGGGCACCGTGTTCTAGAGCAGGGCATTTCTCATAATCCCGCCAGAGAGCCTTAGAGTAACCTTGCCCAAGTACCATCCGGTATCAAGATTTGCACTCTCTGTTGCACCTTCAGGGCATGTCTTGGACTGATGTTGCCGAGTTCGAGTAGACCTAGTGTAGAACCTTTATTCAATATACCCACCCAACCCTTCCTTTCTAACACTCGTTGGTACCTTAATCAGTGGTTGACAACAGGCACATGTAACACCGCTATAACACGAGACTCGATTCTAGTATACTCACGCACTTGGTTCCTGCTTGATCAATAGCTACGGTCCCTAGAACCAGCCGACAATCTGCTACATTCGAGCTATGATGGACTCCTGAGCTATTGCCTGCAGTATATCGAATAAGAAGTGGCCTGTAATATTCACGGCGGCCATACTCCGAAGATGATAAAGAGCTAAATCAGATGGTGGTAAGCTACCATTGATTTTAGAAAAATGAATAGCTTACACAAAGGGATTACTAGTGCAGGTAACAGTTAAGTTCACATGTATGTCGGCTTATCCCCTCCACCCATTGCAGGTTTCACCGCAATGTTTCTATGACTACTAAAGTACATTACAGACACGTCATAATATTTTCACTTAGATACATGTATCTACAGTGAGTAATACAGCGAGTTAGGTTCGATTCCTGACAGCGCTATATGGTTATTCGCTTTGTTAGTTCATCTCATGTACGTGAGTCACATACAGTGTTTGGGTAAAAGTCCCGCCGAGGCTGCCTTGATACCTGAAGTCGGCGCAGGAGACCTTGATTGGTGTCTACATCCAGTGCCTCCCTCCAGTGACTCCCTTCCTCTTTTCCCCACAAAGGCCCGGCAGCTCCTGAAATAATTTCCTTCTCAACCGACCCCCGGAGCCATAACCAAATACCTTTAATTCTCGCCTCGCAGCCGAAACCCATGCACCTGCCTTCGGTAACCTACCTTCGGTTACCCTAATCGTAGCACCGCAATGGGTGGTTCTTCCACATTCCGTGTGCCAGAGTAAGTTGATGCATTTCTCAATTTTAAATTTTGTTATGTATAGATGTCGACTGATAGATTCGAACAGCCCGATGGCGTCCAAAGCCTTCAAGTTTCTGATAGGACCTAACGCCAGCCCTTTCAACGTCGACAAAGAGACATTTGCTGCCATTTCACCTGTTCTACGAACTTTGATGACAGGGAAGATGAGAGAGGCCATTGACGGCTGTGCAGTCTGGGAAGATGTCGAAGTAGACGACTTTGTTGGCTTGTGCGAATTTGCCTATACTGGCGATTACGCCGTACCCAACATTGACCAAACCGCCAAGAAATTCCCTGTCCGACCAAATGATGAAGCCGACATCGAGAAGTATTACAAGAACTTGAACATCATGCGAATTGTCGACTTCCCTTCGGTTTCACAGTCAGTAAGCCCCGGTTGCGGCCACACACTTTTCCTCCGGAAATTCAGGGAGAAATGCGTACCCTTGTCCAACATAAGACACTTAGCCGTGCCCAAAATCACGACTTCATCTCCGGACTGGACCGAAACTTTCATGCGTCATGCCAGAATGTACGTTCTAGGCGACAGATATGATGTCGAAGGCTTGAGAAACATCGCCTTCACCAGACTAGCGTGTGACCTCACACGATTCACCAATACTCCGGACAGTCTTCCCAGCCTGGAAAGCCTCATTCAGTTTATCTACGACAACACGGTCGAGTCCGACAGAATCAGAGATATGCTTGCAATGTTTACAGCCTGCATATTCGAGAACCTGATTCTCCATCCTGTCATGAAGCATCTGTTTCACGAACACTTTGAATTCTCGCGCGATGTTCTTCAACATGTTGCAGAGCGCATGAGAGACCACACTGTGCCCCCCGTACAACTACAAACAGAATGCAGACGGTTTATATAAGGCGTATATGAACCGATTTTGCACCATCGCTCACCGCACCCCATTGGCATTAGTTACCCCTGACCGACATGAATGAGGGTGAACCATGACGATGCTCAAGGAATAATACTCTAGAGTGCTGAAGCTCTGGTTAGTTAAAGACGCTATATGGGGCTGCGGGTATCCTCTTTTCATATGGGTAGTAAACCTAGTCTAGTAAAGATCGAGCAGAAAATCTGATTTCCTCAAACAAGTCCGAGATCTTATACCAATGGACTACGTGCTCTCCAAAATTGTAATGCTCATGTGGCAAGCAATACATCACATAGAACCGTAGCAGAAACTCATAGCATAACCACGCTGACTATATACTAAATCAGGCATGAGAAAGTGAATACGCCATTCTGAACTTGCCTACGACATTCTTAACACCATAGAAGACTGTGGCAGAGATAACTTGGTTTTAATCATAACTGTGATTTATCATTACATCACCCTGACCCTGACTCTCATGTCTCAGTATTTTGTTGTGTGATGGTGCCCACAAGAGATTTGATGCCATCAGGCGTAGAGCACCGTCGCGCAAACTTGATGCCTATGAGGGATGTGCCAGGGGAAGACTGTGATCTCGGCAATATTTATCTAGTTCTGTAATTGCTTGACTAGGCGATACTCGCTTGACTTCTTCATAACTCAGCTTTACGCTGGTGATGCTGCTGTCATCATGCACGTCGATGTTGCCATCCCAGTCAAAGCATAGAAGTACCACCCCGTCAGTGTCAAAGCCGGGTCTGTCGGCCAAGATAGCCAGCTGTCTGTGAGTCTCCGGATGTGACTTGCAGAACCACGGGAACAGACGGACAATCTCAGACAACCCGTCAGTGATAGATGAATAGTTCCCGCCCATTATGATGCGCCTGTGCTCCACAGGCGTATCTAGCCAGTTCGGTTCAAGTTGGTCGGGCAGATCCAATGCTGCGATTCTAATCAGTTCCTTCTGGTGTTCGGTTACCAACAGGAGACTTACCCTTTTCAACCAGACTGAAGCAGGCATATTGAAATCGGGGAGGCTCAGTAAAAGGCTGTTTGGGCTGGTGCTTTTCTGGTGTCCATGGCATGGCTCTATCGCCCCACTCCCCCTCTTCCTCTTCCTTCAGATCCTCCCAGTCCATGTTTCCAATATCAAGGTTCAAACCCCAGCTGGCAGCCCAGTCAACACTACATCGCGCCTTGTCGGCTCGGTCCTGTTGTTCTTCCTGTCCTGTGTTGAGGTGCACCACTAGCACACCATCATTATCGTAATCCGCACTGATCGCCACAATGAAGTAGAGGGGATGTATTGAGTTATCCTGATCTCGGAGCCGGAGATGATAGTCGTATATGTCACGTAGTGCATGGTTGGCGAAGTCATGTTTAGGGGCCAGCTTGCAGGTGCCGAGGTTGATGCCTTCTGCTGCGTTTAATCGGTTCACAAGGATATCCAACGTGCTCTTGTCAAGGGGGAGGATTGAGTAGACAGCCTGTGCGTAGCTCCCTCCCGCAGTGCCACGATGCCGATCTTTGTTTGGGGCCGTTTTTGGCAGAGTGAGGTCTTGATCGGGAGCCATATTAACAATCACGGCATGGGAAGTTTCAGATTTGCCACAGATATATCTGACAATGTAAATTATGCAGCGAAAATGCAAGATCGAAAGTCAGTATTGGGAAATTGGGCGCCCGCGTGAAGTGATGCCAGCCAAGCTGTCGAGAGACCCTAGGGGTAATTTTATTGGAGTATGCTGTCACAACCTTATATCACTGCAGATCCAGCTTCTAATTATAGATATAGCTTAACCATTCTGACATTATGCCTCGACCTTAGATTATTCGCCTGCTGTTCCGACTATAGGATATTCGACCTCGATAATGTTGTCACTCCTTTCGTCAGCCATCCTCTAGTGTTATACTAGATGCACGCATTACATAGCAAGATTTACTTCCAATATCAAGATAGAATTGTCATGTACACACTAAGAACTTTTCTTCCTTTTAAACGGAATGATGGTCGTGTATAGACATAGTCTGTAAATCCCCGTTTCAATCTAATAGCATCATTTGTTTGCTTACAACATGCTGTGCCTTGCTTAATGATGAGCCGGGCTACCTTATGTCCTGTACTTACAATACTCGTCATTCATAAAAAGAATTTTCTTTGGTGCATTACATAACTTCACCAGTCACTTAAACTCCTAGTACTTCGCGTGATATCTCTTACTTGATAGTGGTTATTTTATACTACCTTTTATCTTCTAGAAGTGTCATAAACTTCGTTACATCTATAGAGTGATTTATACGTTAAAGGACTTTGGGGCATCGCATCTCAATATCGGTGCTTTAAATTTTTATATCTCAATTCTAAACTGTAGGTATTCAAGTGCGCCTTACAAGGAAAAGGTGAATGGCAGTAAAAAGCTACAAGAAAAAGAAAAATGACCAATAAACATCGCAAATTGCTTTTGGAGGCAAAAAAAGCTCCCCCGGACAGGCTTGAACTGTCAACCTCCTGATTTGCTTTATAACAGTCAGACGCGCTAGCCAATTGCGCCACGGAGGATTGCTGATGCCAAGCTGTTTTAAGTTGATTTATATAACGGTGAATAACATCAACACACACAAGGATAATGCACTAATCGCGAAATTCATACATTATTCTACACATGAGGCTTAGTTCGAAGCTCCTGGCTGGATTTTCAGGGCTTTTAGTCTCTGGTACCTTGGTTCTACAGTACTGTGTATTGGTAGCTTACGGATTAGATGCCGAGTTAACACTACGTCCTTTCCCTCTGGCGTCCCATTGAGCATACCTTATCCACTAGTCCATCCTGGGCTGCGGCCGATGCAAACTTGTCACTCATTTGTATTGCATAGTGTATACGGCCTGTCGCAGTCTTTGCGTTGTGTGAGCGTGTTGTAGAGTGTCTTGTCAAGACCACTACGTAATCTCGATGTTAATCTTAACTGGAAGGAACTTGTCTTCGGCATCATCAACCCCGGTCTTGAGTTTCAAAAAAGAAAAAATATAAAAAAAAGTGAGTGATCCGAGGGGTGAACCCCGAACCATTAGTAGAGCCAGCAAGGCACCTCGAAGGAATTTTCAACTTGCCTACCTAGGTAATTTCTAACATCAAGGTACGTACCCTGTCCTACACCCTGCTACATGTGTACGTTTGCCCTATTTGTGATTTCCTCGGGAAGAAGAGGATAGTACTTCAATGAGGGAAAAGAACTTGATCCATGGACCGCCGAGGAAGAAGGTCTTGTTGCTACCCCTATTACTGTCGACTATGATCTGGTATGAAATTGGCGGCTGCTAGGCTGTCCCGAAGAATCAGATATCCAGCTATACTGAGACGTTAATCGGAGTGCAACTAAATGATCACTATAGGAGTGTGGTCCCAAGCATACGTCAAGAAAATTAAATTTCTACTAATGTCTGGAATATTGATACAAATGAGTTGCTTACGCTACAGGGGCGACCCATTACTTCTACTGAGAACTTCGCCGGACATTGATATCTGCAAGTTTGAGTAACTCTTTTTTATTGCAAATGGACCTATTGGCCTAATGGACTATACACCCTATCTAACCACGACTAGCCATGGAGTCCACGGCATCTATGAGAGATACCAGCATGTATGTTCATGGCAGGGTCGTCAGCCAAGACAAGCAATAACACGTCAACGACAATATATATATATATATATATATTTCAACGCCATTTTTAGTGATTCTAGAGTTGATGTTCAATCCTCAATTGCACTTTCCGAACCCCTTCTGGCAGCCTGTACCGCAGTGGGCACTGGTGCTGCCACACCAGCTCCACTGGCTACAACAGTATGGGCTACCACAAGTGGTCCCGAAACCAGTACCACACTGCCCATCAGTCGAAAGGCGGGCAGTAGGTGAAGGAGACGCAGTAGCCGGGTGTCCCTGGGCCGGAGCTGGCGGTGGCACTGGCGGTGACGCCTTGTTCACCTGAGTAGTCTGAGAAGTCTTGATCGTTTGAAGTGTCTTAGTCGTCTGGGGGGTCTGAGTGGGTGTGCTAGACGTCTGCTTATACTTCTCGTCAGTCCACGTCTCTCGCATAATCTAGACTTACGAGGTATATATATGTATCTAGCTATGCACCCCGTAGATAGGAGTCAAAATGGGAAGTCGAGATAGGAAAGTCAAAATGCACTCACCGAGCAAATCTTCGGATCCGCAGCCGCAGCATTCAACCCAGCCTTCACAGCCTGGTAGAAGTTCTTCCCATCGACCACATTCGCACTCGCATACGTCGCCTCCCAGACCGCCACACCACCGAAACTCGGCCGGCAGTAATACGCACTCGCCAAGCTCTGCGCCTGAGCGACACTCACCTCCGAGCCCGCGTTCGCCGCGGCCGCGGACCCGGGCAAGCCGATGTACAGACGCGCGTTCTGGCTGTACTTCGTGCCCGCGAGGAAGGCGGCCCAGGCATCGAAGGTGAAGCCGGCATTATTCACAGTGCCGCTCCCGGCCTTGTAGTTCGCATTGGCATTGGCCCAGCTGCGTGCGGAGCACTGCGGCGTGTTGTAGAACTGCACGAACAAGATATCGAACTGCGCGGCGGCGAGCACGTCCTTGAGGTTGGCGTCGGGGACCACGCACTGCGGCGACGCCGTCAGGTAGAAGGTGCGGCCCGTGACGGTGGTGTACAGCTCGCGCAGCTTGGCCACGAGGGCGCGGTACCCCGCGCTGGCGTCCGTCGCCGGGTGCTCGATGTCGAGGTCGAAGCCGTCGATGACGAAGCCGGGGGTGCCGGGTAGGTCGAAGGGCCGCGGGTGGCCCTGGCTGACCCAAGGGTCCTGGCGCGGGCCGAACATGCTCCACAAGAGCGAGGCGAAGGCCTCGCCGTCCGCGACGCCGGTGAGCTGGTATGCGCCGGTGTCGCCGCCGAGAGAGAGCAGGATCTTCTTGCTGGGGTTGCCGGCCTGGCGGCAGGTGTTCAGGTCGCGCTGGAGCGCGGGACACTTGAGGAGCTGGTTGTTTGCGGGCGTGTTGGTGCCACCGTAGCCTGGGCCCGGGTAGGTGTCGCCGCCGCACTGGTTGCCGAAGTTGATGCCGGGGTAGCCATTGGCCTGCTGCGGGAAGAGGTGCACGAAGGAGAGGATGATGATGTCGATGTCGGGATCAGCACAGTATGTGCTCAGCGGCTTCTGGTTGGGTCCTTGGCCCTGTATTTTTTTATCAGATATGAGATGAGTTGATGGTGATATGAGGGTGAGCGCTTACGTAGTAGACGGCGACGTTGTTCTTCGATCCTGCGTTGATTGTTGCAAGAGCGACAGGAGTCAGGATGGCTGCCAGAAGCAGACCAAAGATGCCACGAGCCATCATGACGATGAATATTCCAGTGAAGAAAATAATGAATACGGGAGAATAGGGACGTTTAAAAGGTAAACCCCAGAGGAGGCCTAGAACTGTCTTCGTGGAGTTGTGTCTCAATAAACGTGGGAAACATTCCACGGAGAGTGAGCGCCAACCACGCGAAAACTGTTTGATAAACAATTCAAATTGCTTAAAATGCGTCTATTGGTGATCCTAGCGGAACTTCCTCCCACGTGTGTCTATCTCATAAGGGCCACCACCAAAAATGTTGGCCAAGTTTGTAGACTCAGACGTAGCTTCCAGATCGCAGATACCCGCGTTCTCGGGTGGCCAGCACCAGCACGTATACAAGAGGCCTCATTTGCGGCAATCCGTGACATTTCAGTTGGCCGCATCCAAGTCTATCTCATCCGCTCGCCCAAAAACTTCACTCCTTCCCCCATCTCGATGTCTCATCTCCGCCCTCCCACGACTTCTCCACATATCCCAGCACCTTCTTGACCTCGTCAACCTTAGCCTGGTCGCCGGTATTCTTTCCGATGTTGTCGCTAATCTTGATAGCTGGGTTGCCATCGGCAGAACTTATCTTGATGACAATATTGAGTGGTACAGATTTCTTGCCCGTGGTGAGCTGAGTGAAGTCATTGGTCAAAAATGTGCCAACACCAAACGTCGGCTGGAAGCCTTGCGCTTCCGATACCCGTTTGTACTCAATACATTTTTCAATGTTGAGTGAGTCAGAGAAGACGATGGTCTTCTTATCTTTAATGCCCTGGCTTTCATAGAACTCTCGCATTATCTTGACAAACTCCGCGGGATCACCTGAGTCTTGGCGCACACCGGCGAAGGCCTCGGCATAGCTCCGGGACGGGGACGTTGGCTGCTTGCTTTCGTCTGCCTGTGGAATATTTGGGGTATCGGGAAGGTAGCGAACGGGTTTGCTGAAAGCTCTCAAGAAGGATGGTGTACCGAATGTGTCCGTCAAGGCGATTCCCAACACGCCTTCGCCAAAACAGCCAACCCAGCGACGCAGCGCTTCTTCGGTAGCGCTCTCGTAGTCATTCGTGATAGCCGCAATTCCCATGAACCATTCGTGTGCTACTGTGCCAACAGGGGGGAGGTTGAATCGCATGGCCAGGTGGACATTGCTGGTACCTGACAGCTTGCCCGGCAGGCCGCGCTTCTCAGCATCCTTGCTGGCCTTGACCAAACCTCGGAAAACCAACGCTTGGGTGTGATAATCTCTTCGTCTGCGAGTGCCGAATTCAGAGAATATACACCCCGCCTCCAACAGCTGTATGCCCTTCCCGTATGCCTTGTCTTCTTGTCCGTCATAATTCCAGTCCCGGTCCATGAACTTGAAGTAGGCCTCGGACGTTAGGGCGAGAAGCGGGATCTCATAAAGGATCGTATCTACCCATTTGCCGCGAATTTCGATGTGGATATCGCCCAGTTCATCTTCAGCTCCTGTATCCTCTCCAACAGGCTGGAATGTGGGAACCAGCTGCTCACGGGGCTTGAGTCGGAATTCCTTCAGGAAATCAAGGTACGCAGGGGACAGATATTTGCAGTGCGTCTGCAGAAAGCGCAGTTCGTCGTCCGACAGCGAGATGTTACCGAGTTCTTACAAAAGAGAGTCTTTGTCAGCAAAGTGGGAGATAAGGCTGCGGTATCGGGAGAGGGATGCTCACTGCTAATCTGCTCGCATAGCCAGGCGAAAGCCTTCCGCGACAGCTTCTTCTCTGGCGTACGGTTGGTGAACGCATATGTTACAGGCACGTGAGGATAGTATTTGAAGACGGCGCATTGCATGGTAAGTTTGTACAAGTCAGTGTCGAGGAAGGAGATCACTCCCTCCGGGAAGGGTGTCGACCAGTCGAAATCCATCTCGATTGTATTTGTATTTCACACAACAGAACCAAAAGGGGTTTTAGGGATATGGGACACAGATACTTGTCTGTTCTGAGAAAGATAGATATCCAATATTTGGATACCACTCTCTCTCAAAAAATATAGTTGTAGATGGTGATAGATAGTGGGATAGCTAGTGGGAGATTAAGTTGATATAGCGGGGAGCTCTGGCATGCTTATAAAGCCCTCCTAGTTGCCATGTCTTAAACACTTCTTATGGTGAGTTGAAAGGGTTTGAAAGAAGGGATCTATGAAAATGACTCAATTCATTGGCTAGTCTTGTTATATCTC